ATGGGTTTCCGCGTGGCTGCTGTCCTACTCGGGCCTCGATGCGCCCGTGTGTACATCGAGCAAGTTCAAAAACCAAGAGAATAATTTACTTGAATTAAGAGGTTTTTTTCTTCACTTAAGTTGGTACGCATGTTGGAACTAGGGAATATTTGCTTAAACCAAGATTGACCAAAACAAGAAAAAAATTTACTTAACTCAAGAATATATTTTATCTTCAGTTGAATATACTTGGATCAAGTAAATATTACTTGACTCAAGATGACTTTTTTTTCTGTGTACAAGCTGTACCCACCCTTTCGGTTTTTCCTCTTCACGGGGTGAACAAGAATCCGCGGGCTTAACGACAAGTAAAACCGCGAGTACTGCCGCTGAAATCTTGGGAAATTTTAACCGTATAACTTGGATAATTTCCCAGAGATATTTTCAATTATGATTGAATTGACACTTACCAGAAACGCAGAGGTTAGCTTCATCTTGGGAACAATTTTTGATACTGATATCGTGGGAGGATACGCCGGATTTTTATACTCTTGATAATTTTAATGAGTGACCGAAAGAAGAGTTGGCGACGTCAGTTCAATAAATTTACGATTTTGTTTTTTAATAATTATTTTTTAGATCACCTGCCATTTACTGAGTTTTATCAAAATTATTATCAGCACAAGATACGTTTTAACAAAGAATTTATTTGAAAAATACAGTAATTATTGGTACCTGTTTTATTAAAGTCGAAATCTCGGACATTAGCCAGTAATTAGTCGACAAAGTACTCAATTAAATTAAATGGCTTTTAATTAACTTATTAAATTAATAATAATGATTATTTTTGGAAAAATTTTTCATTTTGCCGTCCACAATATTATAACCCATAAAATTATTATTATTATAAATTGCAAAAAAATTTTTACTTAAATTTTATTGTTTTTTAAATAACATTTTTCTAAAAAAAACTTGTTAATAAATTTGTAAATATTTTAAATAATTAATTTAATTAATGTAAATTGACCAGAAAGAAAGAAATAATTAAAAAACATTCTAATTAACAACTTGTAAAATTTTCTTTAGTAATTAAAATTAATCTTAGACTATGAATAGAAGAAATATGAAAGGATTTTCAATTAATTAAAAATTTTCCGAGTTATTGATGATAAATTCAGTGAATAACAAACGAAATTTTATTCCCAAAGTTTATCCTTTGTTGATAAAAGTAATAATTGAGATTATGACAATTAATAATTATCGGAAAAAGTGTATAACTTTGGTCATTAAAAAGTGCAATAAAGTACATATTGAAATAAAAATGAAAAAAAAAAAAAAAAAAAAGTGGTGAGCTTTTAAAGTATACTGAAATGTAAAACTTGTGTATTTTGACAGGAAATCAAGAAAAGTTTTACCTCTACATAATAGTGTCGGTAGCGGGCGGAGTGATGCTGTTCCTAGGCCTTGTTATCGGACGACTGCTAATTAGTCGGCATCGAGCTAAGCGGGACACTAAATTCCAGGAGAATAACGAAACTTTGCCAAATGGGTTCACTGATGAAATTTCCGAGATCGACGCGGATATCGATCTCTCCACCCCCGTCCCAGTTCCGGTGCCCGAGACCAGGTAAATACTTGTCGTTCTCTCAACCTATAAATATTATCTTATACTCTATTCTACTCTATCTATCTTATTCAATTCTCTTAAATTCTATTCTACCGAGACAAGACAATACAATACAATAATCTGTGCTGATCCTCGGCATTCCCGTCGAGGATTCTTCCCAGTAATTGAGAAAATCCGAATTCAAATATTTATATTTTTAATTAAAAATTCTTTTAATTCTAATTTTGATCAATGAATTTTCAATTCCAAGAATTTTATTCAACAATTCAAATTATAAAATCTCTGATTTTTTTTTTACAAATTATAAATTATAATTATTCATTTTGATTTAATGTAATCCCATTAGACTTAAGTAGATCTATTTTTCTTCAACATTAATCTTCGGAGATATTTTCTCACGGAAATTGTGTTAGATTAAAAAATGTTTCGCTAATGGAAGTTTTCTTTTTATTTTTTTAACGAATTAGTTTCAAGATAAACTATTTTTTTTAAGTAAAATTTTTATCTGAATCTAATTACTCAAATTGACTTACAAACCATTCAAAATTTCATGCTAGTAGTTACAGGATCCATTATTTTGATGATAATATTATATTTTCATCAGTACAATTGATTGATCTAGTACTGTCTATATCAAACGTGTCAAATAAATGTCAAGGGCCAAATTTCAATTACAAGGTCTCGCTTGATTAACGCAGTAGACTTACTTATGCAACGTCGCGTTAGATAAAGTGATAGGGATATTCCCTGACAAATTTTCCTTGATTAAAAATATCACACTCTGATTCTCTACTTTCAATTACCTTGTATCTTATGAACTATTGACATTTTTAAAGATATAAGCTCACCTCGACATTACACTCATCGAGACCTTTCATTTGAGTACCCACATCAATATTTCATATATTTATATATATTATATATATGTATATATGAAAAATATATAAAAATGCATGTGGGTACTCAAATGAAAGCTCTTGATGAGTGTAATATCAAGATGAGCTTATATCTTTAAAAATAACAATAGTTAAGGAAGTACAGGGCATTTTAACAAATATCTTGTGAACT